CAAGCATGCTACCCTTAATTTATAATAGTATACTATTGGGTATAATAGTAGCCATTTTGGATTGTTACGATGTCCTCATAATTATTCAGTCAATAATATAATAAATGCTTTAGAAAATGTTATTGAAGTAAGGATGTGTAAGTAGAATCACCAAAATGAAATTTTCTAAAGATTGAAAAATAAAAATATGCCGAAATAAGGGAGGACATATATTACACGGCAGGTATTAACGATTTATGCAAATTAGGCATATTAAGGGTCAAAATTAACGATGGCATCCACCCACATCTTGTTTGTTATGGTTCAAAGAATTGATCTAGCATGGATGCCAGCTATCACCAAAAAATGCCATGAAATTATTTTCTAGAGAACTTTTCCACATTTGGCTGGCCTACTGCAATACCCAGACCGATTGTTGTCTGAAAAATAACCCTGTATTAACTTTTCCTTTTTTTGTTGGAGACAATTAATAATCTAAGGGCCCTATTTTCTGTATAGGTGAATGGGAATGTCTGGATGGCACTACTGAAGTGCATTACAGGAATTGGTGGTCTTGGTACAATGAACCTACCAATAGCGGAGGCGAAGAGCACTGCGCCACTGTATGGGTTAACGGTTCATGGAACGATGTGCGATGCAACTGGTCGTATCCTTCAGTTTGCAAACGGTCGTCGGCGGTGCTGCACCTTTAAACCCTGAAGAACACTGCCGGATTGCCCCCCCCCCCCTCCAAAAAAATACCAAAACCCTTGTAACTGCCTTGCTGGGATTCAAACACACGACCATCAGAAGTTCGTTCTGATACAACTGACTCTGATTTAATGACAGATACCAATTATGGAATTTTCAAAATAATACGACTATTGAATCCTCTGATTTTTTTCAGCAATTAGTGTTTTAGTTGGTTTATTTGAGGTTGATTTGTCTCAGTTTTTGTAATGACTTGAGCGTGTACTAGAAAAGTAGCCTAATGTCTGATTTATTGATGTTTCTTAAATAAAAGATATTAAGCTTATATAGAACGGCAAAAAAATATGCTATAAAATTAAGTATTTCGTGTTGTGTAGCATATCACTGCAAACAAACGGGCTGAAAGGTTAGTCTAAAATTGTGTTCATTATTGACAAGTAACCCCCCCCCCCCGCCCGGCATAATGAGCGGTTTTGTTTTCAAACATATGGAATAGTTTCTTATCACTCCCGAGTTTATCTCTTACAAACTAAACCCTTCCAATTTCCGTTTTGTTTGTTTACTTTTCAAGTGGAAAATTAAGGAAAACTGCAGGTCTAGCACGCGATACGAACATTTTTGTAAAGCCAAGTCCATTATGTCACCTATTGAAACCGACAGTAACATAGCTTCAATTTACTGCAATATAAAAAGAACACGGTTATTTAGTTCCTGTTTATAGTGAAATCAAGGATTCATCATTATGCTCCCCATCCCAGGCACTGTAGCTCGCAAACCTGATGGAACCTGTAGAGAGGAGACAATGAGAAGAAATTACAGTTTTAGAGGTGAGAGGAAAACCCCGAAGAATATTCTGAGAAAAACCCTAAGAATCTGAGATAGGGACTGAAAACTCAAGAGTCCACTTGTTGGCCCATGGAGAAATTCCTTCCTCCATGGTTGGCCTAGGCGGGATTCGCCAAGTTCGATGTTTGAAATCCAAACTTTTGGCCCTATCTCAAATTTTGCACCCTGCGTCTCGGCTTTTTTTTTTTTTTTTAGTTCATGGGGAAGACCCTGTGCGTGCGTCGTAAAATGACTCATCCTTCTAATAATGAACACAAACTCTGTCACGTGTTTCTTTGTCAGCTTTGGTAAAAAAAAAAACGGAACAAAAAACTTTCTGCGGTACATCTTACACCATCGCCTCTCAAAAACTTGCAATAATTTCATTAGCAGTTAAAAAAAAGCTGGTTGTTGTGCAAACACAAATTGATCACAATGTGTTTTCAAAAGTTCTCGTGTTACTGCGTACCTGGGAAGGATTTTTATGAAGTACAAAAGCCATAACCGGCTCAGCTTTATTACGCTGTTGAATCGTGGTGTGTTTTATGCCGGCCCCTTTTTAGATTCGTCTTTGTGCAAACGCAATCACGGCATCACGTTTGACTCCATTGAACATCACCCCGCCCCCCCCCCCCCCAGCCCTCAGCGGAGACGGTATCGCAAAGTCAATGACCGGCCGGTCATTCAACCCATGTACTGGGCATGTTCAGCAACTGTTTGTTGTCGATGTTGATAAAACCAAGCTGATAAATCTTTGGAGGGGATGGAGGGTTGTAAATAAGGCCTATTAATCCATGCCTGGAAAAAGATACTGACATTGGGAATGAGGTGGCAAAACATTGTGGCATTGATTTGTTTGCTTCAAGAATTGAAGGCATATTAGGATCATTTGCTTTTCATTCATTTCGTTCGTTTCCAATGATAGCACTTCTCAAAATCCAAAGAAGAATGTCCAAAACCTATCGATAATTTGTTGAAGTTTCATGTATTCCACATTAGTCAATTGTCTGATCGTTGGAAATCACCTATATACTATTCCGAGCTAGACGGAATAATTTCACAGGGTGCTTAGTACCAGTACGATCTTTAACTCAAGTCAGCTTTTTTGATAATAATTTGGTGGATTACTTTGGGGATAAATGCAAATGATCATATATGCCTTTAGAGGGAATGCACAACATTTTCTCTTGCTGCAATTTTCTAGTAAGTGGATTTTGGGAGGTAGAATGTTATATACCAAATATTGTTAAACTGACTTGTTTCACGTTTTGGGCTTGGAGATGCTGGAAAAACCAAGAAAAACATCATGCACTTGTAGTCTAGTTCCCTGACCCCACTTTAATGAAACGGAGCAGCTTTGTCGAATTTGGGGAATTGTATGGACAGAGAATCAGTCCTGCAGGCTTGTGCCCCATTGTTCCCGCAAAGAAAATGCGGGAAACTAATTATGAAAAATTAAAAGCAGTTTTGATGTTTGCAAATGTTGTATCTCCCCTTTAAGGCGAAACTCATTTCAAATGGTTTCAAGCTAGACTTGAAGACATCATGATGAAGGGATTGCGGATGGGGCTGGGCCGGGGTAGGGAATAGGGAAGTTGTGGTAGACAAGTAATATTGGTTACTTTCATCTTTCAGACTTGCAGTGAGGAAGCTAGAATGTGAAGCCATTAATTAAATTGTTCATAATCACCAGGAATGCCTGTGTCGCTTGAATAAAAAACTTATTAATAGTATTATCACAGAATGAGATTCGTGGTACTGTCTCATCGTGGTTTGTTCCTCTCCGCCCCATCCCTCGACACCCATTCCAATCGTCTACTCTCTAACTTGCCGAAGAGTGAAAATTCACTCCATTCGAGTGAAGATTCACTCCCACAGTCGGAAACTAGGGACTAGACGTTTTAGAGTGAAATTTCTTCAATCGTAAAGATCGAGTTTTTACTCGAGCTTCGACTGAAGTGGTTCTTGTTTTCAGACTATTTCAATCGAAATGAGAGTGATTTCATTCGAAAACGTATAGTCCCTAATTTCAATCTTTGGAATTTAGAGAGTATAGTTTGATAGTTCCCCCGAAAAAAAAGTGGTTTTCGAAAGCGGTTGCTTCCTATTGTCTCGAAGTCACCAAGGAGTATGACAAAAGTGCTCCCATTTTGGACTCGAGCCTTTTGGAACTTTTGTCACACAGCGTTGTCAGAAGATGACAGACACCGCGTTAGACCATTCAATCCTAGCCGGGTCTATTGTGTGAATGGTCCAACCGAAGAGGAGTCATAGCGCAGCGGGCTTTAGCCTGTCATCTCACCGTCCAGTCGCGCGAGTTTACCGCTGCGGTTTGCCGACGGGGCCGCTGCTCCTTTGAAACCGCCGTGCGATGTTACAAAATTGTAAAGGTATCAATTTCATCTAACATTCCGCCACGTGTCTGAAGAAAAAGCCCAAAGCGTTGTGTTCACATCTCGACCCCCTCACTAACAATAACTTGTGATTTGTAAAGAAGAATTAAGATGTACTCATACAGCATGTGAATTTAGAATAGCCACACAGGCGGGTGACACCACCTGTGAGAGCATTGGGGGGGGGGGGGCGAAATTTCCAGTTTCCCCATGTGATGTTATGTTTTATTCCATAATTACTACTGTACTTCAAATATGAGAGTATAATGTTTAGAACACGAAGACTTGATATAATTGGACACAGACTCGTCAGACAAAAACCGATGTGATGAACATGAAGAAACTTGTACAATCTTTAATACAATTCACAAAACAGTTTATACTCCACTTCGGATCCAAGAAAAAGAGTGTATGGAATACGAATTAGGAACTAACAAATCGTCCAAAATCATCTTTCCTCTTTTATTCTTTGGAATTCCATCCTTATTGGACTAGGCCACAATGTGGAAACGGGAAAAGGAAATGAAAAAACACGGCACGGATTTGGCAAGAATAGGAAAACATTTCCTTTTTATCTTTCTTTAAAAACTACTCTCATTTGCTTATTTATATCCTGGTCATAATTTGAGTTTTGAAAAACAACTAGAAGTTAAGAAATCCTAGCAAGAAATGTGGGCAAATGCAGTTCTGTACACATATTTTGCTTTGTCTTTAAGCAAATAAACAATTGGTGTTGACTTTTCTTCGAAATTGGCTAAGACCCTGCTTATGACAAGGAGTTCTTCAAGACCAGGGCAGTGACTAACCTCATTAAAGTCCTCCACACGTCTTACCCGATTAATGGGCTTTCTAAGTAGGCCAGTTTACAACTTCGCAGATTACAATGAGCGGGTGTTGTAAAGCCTGTTAACAGACGCGCCGCTTGTCCAATCAAAAGTCGGCGCTAGCAGTGCGGGGCTTTGATCCGGCCCGGCGCTTTTGTTCCACGCCGTCAGATCAAACGCACACTTCGGCCAATCAGCTCGTTAAACTACCCGGCCTTGAATGAATCAAAAGTACCGCCGAATCAGGAACCTTATATAAGTTGCAGCGCGTGGCCGCACGGTCCACTCGTCGATCGAACTCCACAACTTCCAGCATTGCCATTTCGTCTCTTCCTTGTTACGACATCCGAGTATAGTCTCTATTCACACCATGCCTGCTAACGTTATGGACAGCACCGTGATTCCCCGGCAGTGCCCGGCCGTCAGATCCGGCAAACCAGCCGGCCATCTCATCGCAGATATTCTCGGCTACTCGCAAGGTAAAATCCATTCACGGAATAGGTCTTCGAAACTTACTTGTATGTTGATTTAGAATGTATTATTTACATCAAGGCATAGTCCTCAGACAGAAACTCAACGAAAAAGTATGCTGCAACGCTATTGGTAAATTTTTTAATTGTCTGAGCATGGAAATAAAGTCCACTTCAGTTCTAATTTGATGCCCTGTCAGAAAGAAAGGTCAGAAACAGCTTAACAATCTGAAATAAATTCAAACTTGATAACTTGAGTTATTTAAGAGGATGTAGACCAAAAGTGCTGCAGTCTTCAACAATTGTGAAGTTTAAATAGCACTAAATTGGAAAGAAGAAAAAGTAATCTTTGGTGATATTTTGGATTGTTCACTCTTGCTTGCAGCGTTTTGCTTACAAGACATCTTTGATAAATTTCAGTTTTTCATTCCTCTTCCTTTACAGCTTCGGAACCTTCAACCGTCCGTGGTGATAGTTCCCCGGCCGAGACCAGCGTGCGAGGTCCGGCGGGCAACCGCCGCCGCCGTCCCCGCACGATCTTCACTGCAGAGCAGAGACATCAACTGGAGACGGTCTTCGCTGTGAACCAGTATCCAGACATCACCAACCGCGAGGTGCTAGCGGACGCCATCGGCATGACGGAGGCAAGGGTTCAGGTTCGTAGGCGTTTCTTTCTTTATTTTTAGATTGACCCATTAGGTTTTTTCAGGTTGAAGTTTCGAACAGATCCTCTCCAAACTTTGGGAAATGTTCTGCAGGATCTAGACATCAGACAGGCTTTTCATGTCTTTTCGAATTCCCTATTTTTTTCATGGAATTCTTTGTACATTGCCTTTTGGGCTGTCTTATTTTAAAGTTGGAATGTCCTTTGTTTCCGAGAGATGTTTTGAGTTGTTAACTTGATTACTTCTGGTAGTGGTCGCTATTTTTGGGAGAATCGATTATCTGTAAACAAACACGCTTTAGTTGGAATCGATGTCGGACACTTAGCATATCTTGTTATCTGGTTACAACTCTGTTGTCACTAACACCTCCAGTCACACGTCTAGCACGTTATTGATCCAAGACCTCTTAAAATATCTCGTCAAGTAATTCGCCAATCACACCTCGGGCTAAACGGATTATCTTCGAGCGGCAGACCTGTATAAACAACAAGTCTTAGTAATTTCTGTATCTTTTTTTTCTGTTTTTGTTGATTCCACAGGTTTGGTTCCAAAACCGCCGCGCCAGAGGCCGTCGCCACGGTCGTCAGACGGGGGGTGAGACCCCTGAGCTTCAGTCCCCGCCGACAACACCGTCTCCCCCATCCCTGACGCCTCAACCACAGACGGCGGCACCAGTGAAGACGGAGCCACTCAGCCCCTCCGTTGTCGTCAAACCAGTCCAGCAGCCTCCGTCTTCCTCACCAAACATCACACCTGCAGCCCCCGTGGACTTCCCGTCTGTCATCTACTGCTCTCCGCCTCAGATGTACCCTGCCTCGTACTCCGAGTACGTACTCCCGACGTACGGGCTGTACCCACCGCAGCCGCTGGGACTCTGCACCGGGTCGCGCAGCCCTCCTCCCGGGTACACTGTGGCCACTCTTCCCGGTCGCTACGCTGGAGTCTACTCGTCAGGGTACCAAGGAGCATTGGTCGGTACCTTGGCAACGCCAGCCATCTTCGATGCATCCATGGTTCCTCAGTCTACTCCCATCTCGTCACACGTGGACTCGACCGGACCTTGGGGGTATGGCCAAGGCGGACTTCTGGCCATTGCTCGCCACTGAACTTTATCTGAAATTCACTGAACTTTAAAATCAGCAACTGTGTATGTGATCTGTTAAAAAAACCCATTTATATCGTTCTTTACCTGTGATGGCTTCATATGTAGCTGCTTTTTCTTTTTCACTCAACAAGTCATTAGTTCCTTGAAATTAAAACTGGTGTTTTTGCCCAATTTTTTTGGACATAATCAGACCATGTTTTGTTTGCTTTTGGTGATGCAATGTTTTATTTTCTAGTCAACGAACCAATAATAATCATTACGAGTTACTTTCAGTTGGGAAAGTACGAATAATCTTAAAATCTTTTAATCTCTATTTCTTTTTACATGTATCTGCTCTTTTCCTGGGTTATTATTGACTTGTACGTATCAACAGTTATGAATTAAATAATTATGATTTCTGTTTTCGTTGAACACAAGTTGATTGTCAGTAGTCTTTTTTTCATTTTATTTCTTATATTTGTCTCAAATCGCGGCCCAGAGGTCCGAATTCCAAAAGACTATTACAATAAAAGCAATTAATTTTAAAAACGATAAAAACTTGCATAAAACAAAAAAAAATTACATGAGCAAAAAAGGCAATGCAATAAATTGTACATGTACATGTATTGGTATTTCTTAGGCCAGTTTGAAAACAGTCTAAGATAAAAAGATTAAATGCGCTGCTTAAAAAAAAAGATAAAGGGACGTGCGCGCAAGTTTGTAATAGCCCACATCTACATTGTACATTATTTTGTAGCATGAACAGCGTCCCGTGGTGTCCACTCCAGACCCCCCTCCCATTTCGCATTTCCACTGCCGGGCAATTATAGGAATTTTGCCGTAAGGTCATGGGGTCTACACCCATCTCCCCACTTGTTGACATGGATTTACGCCACTGCGTCAGCATTTTCCAAACGTTAGTCTGGTTCAATTATAGGCTTTACTCACGAGTCGGCCATATTAAATTGACAGCAAGGTAAAATCGTCATTTTTGGAACTTGCGAATAGCTTATAACAAATGAATACCAGTCTGCTCTGATGGATAATTTTAAATTTGTGATTAATTATGACCTAGTGTTTTTTAAGCCACATTTAAAAAAATTCAGATTGAGGATTTGAACGTTAAAAAGTCTGGCACCATCTCATTCAAGAGTACATGTATTATAGAATACTGAATACAATTACATGTATAGCGCCCTCTAACTTTGGGCGGGCGGCTGTCGCACATACATTGTTTAGACCATTGTTTCCTAGTTTTGGATAGCTGAAGGTTTGTGGCATAGATATAAAACTCAATATAATTGGTACCATTATTATGCAAATGTTGTTCGTGTTTACAATACTGTACCTGTTTGTGATTGAATACAGTGTAGGCCTACACATAATTCCCAACCGCGGCTGACATAAACTAATGAGGAACTGGTGATTGATGGCGCCCTCTGTTGAAATCTATTTTTAGTTCAGGTAGTCATCCTGATGCTTCACCTCTGCTGTACTTTTCAATAAAAAAATACAGCAGAATTTTTCTTTCCGTATGTTCCGGCTATTATATGGGGAAAAATGCTTTGTTTTGACCCAGGAAGGAAGAACAAGAGGGACTGGAGTCACGCCAAGGTTAGAGGTTTCGACATTATGGTTTCAAATGTCATAATATTTTGAATTCTTATCCCCGCAAAACCCCCAAATGTACTCTTGTTGCCATCACTTTAACAAAGAAAATCTGCTATTAAGAAATGTTTTGAATCATCAACCTCAATGTAGTGAAGGATCTGTCAAGAATAATAAAATGAAAGAAAATAGGAAAGATCATACAACGTGCAGAATTGGTTAAACTCGTGAATTTTTGTCGTGACATGGTATAGTAAGGATGACCACGAGAAATGAAGACCTTGTTGTCATATTATTGATTAAGCTGAGTAAACACGACGAAATGAAAAAATAATATTGTCCGTCCAGGAGTATTTCAGCCACATTTAATAATTTCCTTTATTTTAATCTCAGAATGGATAAAAAATTGCGTTCAAACAAAATACCTTCCCATTAACATGTACCATACTTAACAGGCCCGTTAATTCCCCGATCATCCCGGCTGGGTGGGTTCTTCAAATCCCAAAGTGGAACATTTATATACGAGTGCAGAGCACGAAGCCCCTAGGCCCGGATTTCCAAAAGGCACAGTAGGCACTGTGCCATAGGGCCTACGAACAATTCGGGGGCCTACGGAAAAATCGGGGGCCTACGAAATTACCGCAGTGTGCCATAAAACACATAGGCCTACCCGCACACACACACCAACGCGCAGAGAAAAGTTTTTGAAAAGTTTAGGGTCTCTCTCGTTCGATTTCACCAACTGACGCTGTATATATGTACAGCATGTAGGCATACATGGCCCTCCGTATACAATTTACGTGTAAAGTCTGTCGTTATGAAGCATTGTGCCACGGGGAGTCAATCGGTGGGGGACAGGGGACATGTTGTCCTCCCAACTATTCAGTCCCTGAATAAAAAAAAAATTGTAGCCTACATGATTCTGTAGCTCAGAATAGCTGATTCAATGATTCCAAACTCGAAAATGATGTTTAAATGATGATCCTTTGCTAAAACCTTGCCAGTACATGTAGTCAGAAATTGCCTCAGATCGCACCACAAAGCGTCTAGAATCATTTTTTTTTCTGATCAGGATACAAATGTATTTGTACCCCCACACTTTTTAGAAGCATTTGACGGCCTTGGTGCCATCATACCAACAGGCTTTTAGAGCTCGGACCTATACCAGTTTGGCTTGATCTGTACAGTGCTCTGTACGCTGAATTTGGTGTCGTGGCTAGAGCGGAGTCAGATAGGGGGCTACGGAACACTTAATCCGGGCCTGCCCTTATGGCATGGGGTCCCTGCAAATTTGGATTCTAGATGCTCTGTGTCGCAATCTGAGGAATTTCCTGGCCACTTCCCTGTGACTTTTTAAATCAAATTTGCTTGAGTTTACAACGTAGAGGCGAGATTTTTAGGGGGAGGGGTGAAAAGTAGATTTTTTTTTTTTTTTTTTGGGGGGGCTATTTTTGTTAAAGTAATATTCTGAGTGGAACTCCTCACTGAGCGGGGGAGGGGGTGTCATTTCGAACCACCGAACCCCCTCCCCCAGCCTATACGTTCCTGCTTAAAGGGATTATACATTAAACATCAAAAAACGAAACCACCAATGATGAAATACCGTTTCTGGACTGGTAGTGAAAGACAGTCTAAAGCATACCGTAAAATACCGCACCTGTGCCGTCATTTTCAAGAAAAGTGGTAATTTTGTACTTCTAACACTGGTCAGCCGATCAGTGTTGGGAAAAAAACCCTGTTTTTTCAAATACTTTTCCCAATTTGTCATATTTAGTTTCCGCATTTTCACATGGGGAAAGTGATTAACAAGAATAAAAGTTTGCATAAGCTTTCGTAGTAACAACTACAGGGTGAGTCAAAAAAAGCGGAACCCAAACCCCCAAAAATGTATTTCATATTTGAAAAAATATGTAGCACCAAACCTAATAATGACTGGAAAGCCAATTTCAAAAGCTACTTTTAGATGAAAAAAATTACTGAAATTGCACAATCCGTTCAAAGAATACCACCATTCAAACGCAATGACCCTAAAAGCTGTCTCGTCCAAAAAATCATTTTATTGTGTGTTTTGACTGTTTGGAACAACAAAGAAAATGACAAAGAATACTTGTTTCAAGGGCGGATCCAGAACACAATTTTTTTTGGGGGGGGGGGGCCAAAACAATTTTTGGTCCCCCAAAAAAGTGGGTCAAAAAAATTACGGCGTGAAAATTTTTTGGATTCTAGATGCTTTGTGGTGCGATCTGAGGCAATTTCTGATCACTTTAATCAATGTTTTTTTGAGGAAAAGATGGTGGTGTACTCATTGCCTGCCCTTATTGCGATGTCACATAAAAAAAAAATTGGTTTCGTTTGGGGGGGGGGGGCATGGTCCCCTTTGGCCCCCCTGGATCCGCCCTTGACTTGTTTTAACAACTGCCACCAACTGTAGCCAATTTCAAAAGCTACTTTTAGATGAAAAAAATACTGAAATTGCTCAATCCGTTCGAAGAATACCACCATTTAAACGCAATGACCCTAAAACCTGTCTCACCAATTAAAAATCAATGTTTTGACTGTTTGGAACAACAAAGAAAATGACACAGAATACTTGTTTCAACAACTGTCACCAACTGAAGCCAATTTCAAAAGCTACTTTTTGATAAAAAAATTACTGAAATTGCTCAATCCGTTCAAAGAATACCACCATTTCAACGCAATGACCCTAAAACCTGTCTCGTCCAAAAAATCCATTTATTGTGTGTTTTGACTGTTTGGAACAAAAAAAATGACACACAATACTCGTTTCAACAACTGTCACCAACTGTAGCACACAATATTGTGATTAACAACCCTGGTTAGGCAAACAATATGATTTATAAAATCTACTTTTTTAAAAGATGGGCCTTCAAAAGGGCTTGGTTGCATATTGTGAACGTTTAAACTAAGATTTCATCGCTGGTGATGTTTGAAGACAATTGTGACGACGATTGTTGAAATCGCATTTTTGGACGAGACAGGTTTTAGGGTCATTGTTTTAAATGGTGATATTTTTTGAACGGATTGACCAATTCAGTGATTGTTTCATCCAAAAGTAGCTTATGAAACTGGCTTTCCAGTCATTATTATTTTTGGTGCTACACATTTTTTTTAAATATAAAATATTATTTTTGGGGTTTGGGTTCCGCTTTTTTTTTTACTCACCCTGTACTTCATCAGATGCAAAAAGCAACTTTAATTCTTAAGAGTTTATGCAGTTTTAAGAGTCTGGAAATTATACGTTTTGTGCTTTTTCAAGAGGGAAAAAATGTGCTGTGAATTGCACATCAAAGTGTAACTGTGTTCAAGGGCGGATCCAGAACATAATTTTGGGGGGGCCAAAAAAATTTTTGGTTCCCCCAAAAAGGTGGGTAAAAAAATTACCGCGTTTTTTTCCGGGGCCCGCTTAAGGGCCCCGAAAAAATTTTGGTTTGTAGATGCTCTGTGGTGCGATCTGAGGCGATTTCTGACCACTTTAACCAATGTTTTTTTTTAGGAAAAGATGGTGGTGTACTCATTGCCTGCCGTTATTGCGATGTCACATAAAAAAAAAAAAAAATTGATTTCGTTTTTTTTTTGGGGGGGGGGCATGGCCCCTTTTGGCCCCCCCCTGGATCCGCCCTTGACTGTGTTATAGATCATAATCCATGACTCAGATTTACAACTTTTGATCATATTTACAACTGTTTACAGTTATTTCTTACACATGTATCAAATTTCAGGTTATGTCGTTGGATTTCAGTGAATTTAACGTAATGACGTTCTCTGTGGTTGATTGATCACGGAGTATACCAGTCACTGCTGCATGACAGCGGG